GCTAGGAGTTTCCTCCAGGTCTCCCCACATGGGTCCAGGGGCCAAAGCACTTTAGCCATCTTTCTACTGCTTTCTCAGGGCATCAGCAGGGAGCTGGATCAGAAATAGAGTAGCCAGGACTTAAACTGGTGCCCATATGGGATGCCGGCACCGCAGGTAGATGCTTAACCTACTATGCCTCAGCACTGGCCCCAACAGAACAATTTTATTTACTTATTTTTAAATTCTTACTTATCTTCACTTTGTTTGAAAGGCAGATATATATAGATATATCGATATCTCTAGGTATCTATAGATATATATCGATATCTATCGATGTATATATCTATATATATAGAGAAATGATCTTCCATCCACTGTTTCACTCCTCAAATGCCTGCAAGTGTCATGGCTGGGCCAGGCAGTTGCCAGGATTTCAGAACTCCAGCTGAGTCTCCTTCATGGGTGGCAGGGACCAATGCACTTGAGCCATTATCTGCTGCCTCCGAGGTTGCATGTTAATTGGAAGCTAGAATTGAAAGCACAGCCAGGACTTGAACCCAGGTACTCTGACATGGGATGGGAGTGTATTAACAGCATCTTAACTGCTGGGTCATATGCCTGCCCCAGAATGATTTTATTTTTTCTTGGCAAGAGAGTAAGTTAATATGCTTCAGAAAACAATTTGCCACTAACCTGCAAAGTTGAATAAAAGCCTGTGAGACCTAACATGTCCACAGCAAGGTGCATACCCACAGCAATGTCTATTTCAAGTTAGTGGAATGTCACCCAAATTTTAAAAACAAGAGCAAGGGAAGAATAGTAATAAGAGTTAGTACTACTTCATGAAAACATATATTCCAATTACAGAAGTGCAAATGCATCAAGTTACTAGAAGTGTTTCCACTTCCCCCATGAATGACCTAAACAAAACCAAATGTTCATGAAAAGAAAACTGATTGTACTCATTACTCATGTTACAGAAATCAGAATATAAAAAGTAGACTTGGTTTTTACCACTACCAACTGTAAACTTGCCATAGCATTTGCATAGTAAAACAATAATCTAAATGATCCTAAATGGCAACAGCCTTATTAATTGTCAGATATTTTATACTAGTTATCTATTAAAGGGAAATGAATAAAATAAATCTATTTATATACAACAGACTGAAAAATACTATTACTAAGATCTCACTCCCCAGCTCTATGATTTTAGTAACCATTCAATGCCTTTTCAAAGACGAGAAAATCCGATGCAATTTGTGGATGTGTTGTTGACTGTTAGTCACATTATCCAATCAGCAGCTGTCTGAATTGAAGTCTCAAGAAAAAATGAAAACAAAACAAAGATGCTTCAGAATAAATGTAACTGTTTACTTGGGAACAAATCAAGTGCACAAACACAGAATATGAGAATCTGGACCAGTAGTATCATTTGACAAAGGTCTGGGATTTTAGTTTACCACCAGCCAACTGTGTCTGCAGCAGGTGTTTAGCCTACTGGTTATGATGCCAGTGTCCCACATACAAGTACAAGCCAGGATTGATTCCTGGCTCAAGAAGATGACTCCAGCTTCATGCTAACATAGACCCTGTGGGGAAGATGGTGATGGCTCAGATAACTGGGCTCCTGCCACCCATGTAGGAGTCCCAGATGTTCTTAGCTCTTGGCTTCGGCCTGGCACAGTTCTAGCTCTTATTAGTATTCGAGGAGAAAAAGAGTGTATGGGAAGTCTATATCTGTTTGTCTTTCTCTGCCTCTTAAAAAAAATCAAAACCCAAAAAAGCAAAACAAACAAAACTGTGCCAGGTTGAAGAAGTTAAGATTAGTGCCTTGGGGCTGGTGCCGTGGCTCATCGGGTTAACGCCCTGGCCTGAAGCACCGGCTTCCCATATGGGCGCCGGTTCTAGTCCCGGCTGCTTCTCTTCCAATCCATCTCTCTGCTATGGCCTGGGAAAGCGGTAGAAGATGGCCCAAGTCCTTGGGCCCCTGCATGCACATGGAAGACCCAGAAGAAGCTCCTGGCTCCTGGCTTTGGATCGGTGCAGCTCCGGCCATTGCGGCCAATTGGGGAGTGAACCATCAGATGGAAGACCTCTCTCTCTCTCTGCCTCTCCTCTCTCTGTGTAACTCTGACTTTCAAATAAATAAATAAATCTTTAAAAAAAATTAGTGCCTCATCTCAGGTTCTGTATCAATGGAAGAGTCCTTATCAAATCAAACTGTCACTATCATATTATCATCATCAACAATACTTACCAATGGCAGTCTCTCATCTCTCTCAGCTTACACCCTTGCCCATTTCCTAGTCAGTCTACACAGAACACAGTAATCTCCGAAAATGAAATCTGGACACGAGTTCTCTGCGTGACAACCTATAATGGCTTCTCATGTGACAAAGACTCTCTTTCACTGACCAAACTTACAGGTAAGTCCTTCTCAGTGCTCTTTGACAGGGCTTCATCCTTGGGCACTGTCCTTGCCCTAAGTCAGCTTAACCAAAGAATCCTGTTAAGTCACTGCTCCACCCCTTGATATCTGATCAAGTTCCTCCTCCCTTTGATGGTCTAAACCCTTGGCCTGCCTGTAGCAAGAATCCTGTTAGTTCAGTCAAGAATCCTGTTAGATCCTTCCACTCTTGACGTGTTCTATTAGTAACTTTGCATCCACTGACACCTTCAATCTGCTCCTTAGCTATAAACATCAATTTGTCCTTGTTGTATTCAAAGTTTAGCACAATCTCTCTTCCCTGTTCACCAATCTACATTAGTTTTTCCTTATTATCCTTTTTCATGGCCTCCTATTATTTTGCCTTAAACAGATAACCATGTATTTGTCTTCATTTAATTCCTAATCAAACTGTAAATTCTTTGAAGTCTAAACTGTTTCGTGTATTAAGATACAGCTACATAATGCCACATACACTAGATATTCAATACATATCTGTCAAAAGAACATATTAGAAACTTACTATTGTAAAAAGCCAGGTATCTCCCTGTACCTTTCAGTATATAAGAGGCAGAAGCTGGCAAGATGTTGTACAAATAGTTCCGTGCTGCATGGGAAGCAATGCAGCCATCTTTAAGTTGTACATCTATACTGACTGCAATGCCTCCACATCATTCTATTAACCTTGGCTTAACACTTCCACCTAATTACCTGTCTGTCTATGGTCAAGTCTTATTGATTCTTTGGTTGCATTCTCTTACTGTTTTTCTTTCTATTCTACTCTCATCTCTCCTTTATCTCAAAAATGGACTATTTTAATCTCCTTTTTCTCCGTCTCTGGAATCCTCTTCCCACTAATGCATCTTTTATAGTATTGCAAATCAATCTTTCTAAAACACTGTTTCAAATGTCTGCTTGCTGAAAAGCACCCAGTGTTTCACTTGTAAAATAATAAGTGCAATCTTAAATGCAACTTACTTTTCAAAATGAAAATTGTAGAAGATACGTAAACGTTTCTTTTACCGTCCTATACAAACATATAAGATATATATTGTATGCTATTAGAATAAACATTGCTATTTTGTTCCTATTATGTATTTTATGCTGCTTCCCCTCCTGGACTATCTTTCAAGTCTTTTCTTTCTTTTCTCTCTCTCTCGTGCACTTTCTTTTCTCTCTCCCTTTCCCTTCCTTTCCCCCCTCCCTCTCTCCCTTCTTTCCTTCCTTCCTTCTCTCCTTTCTTCCCCTTCCTCCCTCCCTTCTTTCTTTTCTTAATTTACTTATCTGAGAGAGGGAGAGACAGAAAGAGAGAGAGATGGCCAGTGGGAGGGAGGGTAAGAGAAAGAGGTACACATGAGCACCCCCACTCATAGGTTCATCCCCCAAATGCCCCTAAAGGCTAGGATTAGGTCAGACCAAAGCAGAGAGTCTGGGACGCAATCCAGGTGTCCCACATGAGTGGCAGGAACCCAATAGTTTGAGTCATTCTTGCTGCCTCCCACGGTCTGCATCAATAGAAACTAGAGTCAGGAGCCAGAGCCAAATATTGTACACAGCTACTCAGATATGGGTTGTGGGCATCCTGCCAAACACCTACCCCCATCAAGTCTTTTAACCAGCTATGTGATACTGCATAAAATGCATAGACACTGATTCTTAATTGTAAGGGGATTTAAAAAAATATTTATAATTTGTTTTATTTGAGAGAGATCAATCTTCTTTTTGTTGGTTCATTCCTGAAATGTCTGCAATAGCTAGGGCTTGGCCATGGTAAGCCAGGAGCCAGGAACTCATTGTGGGTCCCCCATGTGGGTGATAAGAGCCCAAGTACTTATGCAATCACCTACTGATGGCACACCAGGGTGTGCATTAGCAGGAAGAGCGAGGACTCAATTCCAGGCACTCTGATATGTCATGTAGGTGACCCAAGTGACTTCTTTTTTTTTTCTTAAAGATTTATTTATTTGAAAAAAATTACAGAGAAAGAGGGAGAGACAGAGATAGAGAGATCCTCCATCTGTTGGTTCACTCCCTAAATGGCTGCAACGGCCAGGGCTGGGCCAGGCCAAAGCCAGGAGCCAGGAGCATCATCCAGGTCCCCAACATGCCCACGCACTTGGGCCATCTTCCGCTGCCTTCCAGGCACACTAGCAGGAAGCTGGAGAGGAAGGGGAACAGCTGGGACTTGAACCAGTACCCATATGGGATACCGGCACTGCAGATGGGCCCAACCTGCCATAGCGCAGGCCTCCCCTAAGTGGCATCTTAACCACTACATCAAATGCCTATCCCAAAAGGATGTTGATTAAGTGATTTCTAAAGTTTTTTCCTACAGTATTTTATTTAACTTTTCTGTTTGGGATGAATAAGCTAACAACTAGATAGATTACAAAAATGTGTGTTGTTAGCTTTCAAACTTGACTATGAATTACATCAGGGAAGGGCATTCTGTCTTAGACATTTTGCCTTGCTCACATTACTTAACACACTGATCTGCTAAGAGTTGATACTTAAAAACTCCACTGAATTTGAATTAGAATAGAAAAGTACTAAAACCAAAAATACTTACTCTCCCATTGCCCATGGTGGACAGCAACATAAAGGAGGGAAATGTTTCTGCTGATCTTTGGCTTCAAGGATTAATACCAGATTTGGATATCGGTTAGTTAGATAATTGGTAAGGAATCCCATAAAGTTGTAAATGACATAAGCTTCATAGCATTCTCTGCAGGTATCCACATATATTGCAATGCTGGGGTATTTCAAAGCTACCCACTATGAAAAAGCACAGGTGTTAAAGATAGTTGTAGCTAAAGATAAAATGAGTTATAATTCCAATTCATGGTACTCAAAAATAAGCTAATTTCAAAGTCTGAGACATCTTGTCACATACTTACATCAAACTCTCTAAAATTCATCATTATGATGGCTACTAGACAACGTGTGAAATGAAGTTTTAAAAGCCCTAAACATCTAGGATATGGGTTAAAAAAAATAGTAGGGATAAAGAATGAATATCAAGAGCTAAATTACATGAATTCCTACACATAATCTGAAATTTTTCTTAATTTGGTTACAGAAAATGTTGCTTCAGTTATTTCCTTTAAATAAATTAGTGTAGCATAATATCATAATTACATGTTTATTTACTGGAGAATGTTTTATTAGTTTGTCCAAATACAAAGGAGGATAATTGACAGCTGACCTGTGGTTTCAGCCAACTGTGTACTCAAATTATCTGAGAAGAAAAGGATGCGTCTGTACTAAACATCTACTGCCTGGTTTTTTCTTGTCATATTCCCTTAGCAATACAATGTATAACAACTATTTCACATTCACTGATGCATTCACATTGCATCAGGCATTATAAGAAATCTAGACATGATTTAAAATATAGGGGAGAATCTATGTAGGTTACATGCAAACACTATGCCATTTTATAAAAGGGACCTGAGAATCCTTGGGTTTTGTGTCCACTGGGGGTACTGGAACAAGTCTTCTTTTGGATGCTGAGGCATGAATCTAATTTAAAATATTCTTGAAACAGCCACTAATCTGAGAGCTTAAGAGATTAAGCAAAGAACATAAAAATAGAATTTATAAAATTTAAAGTATTTGCATTTTTTCTTTTCTATTCTCATACTTTATCTTATCAATATTGACAGCAAGTGAACTTTTCTTATAATCTGACTCCTTACTGAATAAACCTACTTGCATATCCTTAAATCTTCTGTAAGCATAGTTAACACCATCAAAAAGTTCTAAATTAATGTAACAAAGTGAAACATACTTACACTATCTAAACTGTATATGGGTACCATCCAAAGAATCCTATTTGGAAAGCAAAATGTAAATATTAAAAATTTTGCCATATTTACAAAATAAACCAATACAAAACTAGTAGAATAAAAACATATTAAGATTTACCTTATGATTGGTTTCTGTAGTTCAGGTTGTGTATAATGCACTAAGTGTTGCAATATCACCCAAAGGGATATGGGTATAGTCAACAGCAAAAAGATTCCAGCAATAAACCAAGCCTTGGTGTGTATTCCAACCTTAAGAAACAAAAGGACACATCAGTGTAAATTCTGATATTAAAACTAAAAACATAAATAAAATACTTTTATATCTTATATTTTCATTTATTTGATTACTAATGAGAAATACTGTTTTCCAAATTATTATTTTATTTCTTCTTCAAAATAAATAGCCTATTTGTGTTTCTGTGGACAAGAGGGGACACATTATTCCTCATGAGCATTGTTTCTCAAGCTTTTCTAACAGCTTTTCATTTATTAAAAATATTAATACCATGTCATTTCTCAGTTTGCTATTTGTTTTTTATATTTCATTACTGCTTTTGTAGATGTACAGAAGTTTTAAAATTTTCTGCAAGTCCCATATAAAAAATCTTTTTATGGTTTAATCATTTACTTTTCTTCATAAAAAGTTAAAAATCTGGGGCTGACGCTGTGCTATAGTGGGTAAAGTTGCTTCCTGAGATGTGGGATACCATATGGGTGCTGGCTGGTGTCCTAGCTGCCCTACTTCTGGTCCAGCTCCCTGCTAATGGCCTGGGAAAAGTGGCTGAGGATGGTCCAGATGTTTGGGCCCCTGCCAACCAGGGGAGACCAGGATGAAGTTCCTGGCTGCTGGCTCCTGGCTTTGGCCTGGCCCAGCACTGGCCATTGTGGCCAGTAGATGGAAGATTGCTCACTGTCTCTCCCTCTCTTGTTGTAACTCTGAATTTCAAAACAGACTCTTAAAAACTTAAAAATCCACCTAAACTTATTGTTAAACATTTTAGATAAATACTTTCATATATGAAAATAACAATGAACTTTTATTGTATACTATTTGCCTAATATTTGGCTAAGATATTTATATGCATCCTTTAAAAAAAGATTTATTTATTTATTTATTTGAAAGGTAGAGTTGGAGCCGGCACTGTGATGCAGGTTAATGCCCTGGCCTGAGGCGCCAGCATCTCATATGGGCGCCGGTTCAAGACCCGGCTGCTCCTCTTCTGATCCAGCTCTTGGGCCCCTGCATCTGTGTGGAAGACCCAGAAGAAGCTCCTGGCTCCTGGCTTCAGATTGGCACAGCTCCGGCCATTGCGGCCAATTGGGGAGTGAACCATCAGATGGAAGACCTTTCTCTCTTTCTAACTCTGACTTTCAAATAAATAAATAAAATGAAAGGTAGAGTGACACACAGGGAGGGGAAGATGCACAAAGAGATCTTCCATCTGCTGGTTCACTCCCCAAATGGCTGCAATGGCAGGGGCTGGGCCAGGTTGAAGCCAAGAGCCTGGAACTCATCTGAGTCTCCCAAGTGGGTGGCAAGGGGCCTAAGGACTTGGGCCATCTTCTGCTGCTTTCCCAGGCACATTAGCAGGAAGCTGGATCAGAAACAGAGCAACCAGGAATTGAACTGGTATTCTGAAATGGGGTGCCAGTTCAAGAGGCAACTTAGGCTGCTGTGCTACAATGCTGATCTCTATGTAGTTTCTTTAAAAGGAGTTTTAAAACCTATTTTAATTTGAGAGATAGAGAGATGGAAAGAGACAGCTAAAGCTCCAATAGCATGGTTCACTCCCCCAAATGTCCATAAGAGCTAGGGCTGGGCTGGAAGAAGGCCAAGAGCCAGGAAATCAATCCAGGTCTCCCACATGGGTGGCAGGGACCTGACATTTTGAGCCCTCACCTACTGTCTCCCAGGGTCAGCATTAGCAGGAAAACTGAAACTGGGAGTGGAGCTAGGACTTAAACCCAGGTGCTCCAATATTGGTGTTTTAACCTTTAGGCCAAATGTAGACCCCATGCATTATCTCTTTTAACCTTCCCAATGGTTAAGTTCTGTCTCACTATTGTCCAAACAAACTGTTAATATGCTACCCTTGTTATATACAATAGTATCAATTCAGGATAGTATTGTTTCAAAAAAAATCTACTTTCTTAGGTCAGTATTTGATCAATATTTTATCCTTTAGAAACTCAATTTCTAAAAATATACTTATCTTAAAGTAGCACTGATAAGCTTTCTGGTAAAACAACTTTAATCTGAACCTGTGTTCTATTTGGAAAGCCCTATAGAATACTTTGCTATAACTGTTGCTTCCCAGGTCTGCATTAGCAGGAAGCTGGAATAATGAGCCAGAGGCAGGTACTGAATCCAAGCAGTCTGACAGGGTGGGAAGTGAGCATCACACCACTAACTTATGATCCCGTCTTCAATCTTTCTCTTCTTAAAAAGGGAAAGAGTATTTATTTTTGGTACCTGAGTGGTTTGAGCAGTTAACAAAATAGACTTGAAGCCTATAACTCTTCATTTCACTGTTTTAACATGACACCCCCTGTCCAATAGGGGCCAGATATTAAAGAGGTAGAAAATAAAAATATGGAGAAGAAATGTATTTTTATGTCAATAAATTTCCACATTTAATATACAGAAGCCTGAAAAGCAAACATGTAAATATTGTAAAAAGGCTTCCTGCTTTGCTCATTTTCATTTAAAACTTACTCAGTGATGATCAAAGGAAATATTAACATAAGCATATATTGCAGAGTTTCTCTTTTGTTTTTATTTGACAGAGTTAGTGAGACAGAGAGAGACAGAAAGGTCTTCCTTTTTCCATTGGTTCACCCCCCAATGGCTGCTACGGCCGATCCGAAGCCAGGAGCCAGGTGTTTCCTCCTGGTCTTCCATGTGGGCGCAGGGCCCAAGCACTTGGCCATCCTCCACCGCCTTTCCAGGCCACAGCAGAGAGCTGGACTGGAAGAGGAGCAACTGGGACAGAATCCGGCGCCCCAACCAGGACTAGAACCTGGGGTGCCGGTGCAGCAGGTGGAGGATTAGCCAAGTGAGCTGCGCCGGCCAGAGTTTCTCTTTTATAAAGTTATCATCAGCAGAGTCCTGCCAAATACTTTTAATGTCTCCATTTACTTTTATGATTGTTGTAGTGCCAAAAAGTAGAACGTGGTTGTAGCATCAGAGAAACATTATGTGCGAGTGACTAGTGAAGGCCAAGTATAATCACAGTGTGCTGTAAGGAAGAAAGTGCTTTCTCAAGCAGTCATAAAAACAAGTGCCTCTGGGTAATTGAGTCATTTCAGTATAGTCATGCCAAATTAAGAAAAATTGTGCATAATGCAGCATCATTTTTACATTGCAAATGGCAATTTAGTTTTAGAAAAACATCATCGGCCCACACTAACATTAATTTGAATTACTGCTTTATAGCTATTTTGACTTTTGAACTATATAGAAAGCTGTATGCACAAGAAATTTAAGCTACTTTAATTGTGTTCATATTTAAGTAATAATAGGAAAAGTCACTACCAGGTATCTGTAGAAATGAACTCTTCTCTTTAAATAATTTATCTAAACTTGAGACACACTTCTATAGAGACACCATTAACATAATACTTAAACTTATCAGCCATGCAGTGGGGGGTTTTTTTGGCTCAAAAAAATTAGAAGGACAAGCTATGGCAGTGTTTTTCTAACATTATGTGAGGAAGGAAGAGGACAAAGAAGTACTAAAGACAAGTGTCTAGGAGCAAGTTAGCTCTCCCTCAGCCAGCACTTCAGACGAGAGTACAGAATAGGAGAGTGCTTTCAAGGCCCAGGCCTCCAGAGGCACGGAGAGCAGAACTGATAGACAATAGTACTACAGAGAAGCATGCAGCCAAGTGCACACCTCGGGTCAACCTCACATACTCAGCCCCATGAAAGAGCAAGAGAAGTCGTTTCCTTAGCGCAGGCGGTCATCCGGCTGTTTCAGTACATGAGTGTACTCGGATGCTGCACCTCTGGCATGGGATGAGGTGAATGAACCTCCTGTTTTCTGTAGTCTCTTTCCTAGGAACTTCTCCTAGTGAACACTGTGACTCTAGTGTTTTAAAAAAAGACAGGTATTTCTTATATAAAATGCCCCTAAGCATAACCTATTGCTCAAGCAGACACATGTAATTTTGTCTCAAGTGTTAAGAACCTAATACAGCCTAAACTGTTACTGCACCAGGAAAAGAATTGCTGCCACAATACAATACCGATGATGCTATTTAAAAAAAAAACACAGTGGTGTAGTGGATAAAGCTGCTGTCTGTGACAGTGCTGGTTCATGTCCTAGATGTTCCACTTTTGATCTAGCACCCTGCTAATGGCCTGAGAAGATCAGCGGAAGACAGCCTGACACCCATGTGGGAGACCTGGATGAAACTCCTGGCTCCAGTTGGCCCAGCGCTGGCTGTTGTGGCCATCTGGGGAGTGAACCAGTGGATGGAAGATCTCTTTCTCCTTCTCTAACTCTGCCTTTCACATAAAATAAATCTTTAAAAAAAATTGTGGTAATTAGGGCTTCTTGAGCACCTACTATGTGCTGGGCACAGTGTTAAGGATGTTAAATATATAAGCTCATTTGGTGAATTAGATAAGAATAGGATATTGTATATGAAACCCTAAGGACAATGTCACTATGGCCACTTATCTCTGCCTCAGTTCTGCATCTGTAAAATGAGGATACTTCCTATGCTTCAGGGTTTTAAAGATGATGAAATAAAAATTATAGCTAAATTTTGAGGACATACTCTAGTTAGTGTCTCTGGTCTTAAAAACAAAAGGAAAACAAGCCCTTCCTTAATTTCACACTCCTCTCCACCTACTGTGCATTCATTTCTCAGAGTCAAAATTCCTGCAACCAAAATGAACAACAAACTCAAATTCCTATTCTGATTGCAGTTTTCCACCTCACATTCAGTCTTCAACTCCACTGAAACCATTACTAAGATGACAAGGACTTTCCTATCTTGTGAAAACCAAGGCACACTGCAGTAGCACTGGACACTGGTCACCATGGCCTCCTTGAATCATTTTCTTGGCACTCTGCTTTCCCATTGGCTGCTGCTTCACCTAAGTTCCTACTCCTCGACTTAAGCTCTAAAGACTGGTGCTGGGCTCTTGGCCATTTCTATTTCTTTATAATCTCAGCCATCCTAATGGCTTTACTACCACCTACATTCTGACCACTCTTCCATGGGTAGAACAGTTCTTAGGTTGAAACACAGGGCCTTTACCAGGTCATGAAGGTTAAATGAAATCATAAAGGAGAAGCCCTTATCTGACACGGCACAGGGCTGGTACCTCATAAGATGAAGAGGCACCAGAGAGGGCACTCTCTAACAGGTGAGGCTACAGCCAAGATTTGGCCACTGCAACCCAACAGAACTGCTGTCTCCAGACATCACCCCGACTTGTACCTCTATCTTGGATCCCAAAACATTTTTCAGAACTCTGAAGGGAAAAAAATAATGTTAAGTCTCTCCATCCCCAGAATGGTAGTGTGAGCAGACTAAGACAAACTCCCACATTTGTATCTGCAGCTCAAACCTTTCTGAGTGCTGGACTTGCATATCCAACTGCATATTTGACATGCAAATCTGAAGGTCTCTCGTTACACCAAATGTCCACACAGAACTAAATTTTCTCAAACCTGTCCCCAGTCCTCTACTTTCCATCTTGGTCTGAAACCAAAGACCTCAGAATTACATTTGATTTCTCCTTTTGTCTTACTGCCTCTCCTCCCCAGGCTAATTACTGCCTAGTCCTGTTTGTTCAGTTTTCCATCTCTACTCCTGGGATCCCTAGCTGGGCCATAAATCACTGTAGCCCAGCCACCCACTACTTCTCAACTACCATAAAGAGCTAACTTCTCTTTACTTCCACTTAATTTTCCACAGCTGGTAGAGTGGTCTTTTGAAATTGTGCAATAAAACTGACATGCCTGTTAATTTCTCAGATTTTTTTCTAGTTTCCTCAACACTGCTTAAAACATTTTTATTTTATCGGTTTGTTTTTGTTGTTTGATCTGCCTCTTCCACCATGTTTAAGAGTCTCATAAGATAATACCGTGCACAAAACCTGATCATCACTGGGACTCAAGTCATTTGGGCAGAGGGAGGGGAAGAGAAAACTAAGTGAAATTTTATTGTGGTAGATACTGTCAAAGTCCTACAAAAACAAAGCAGGGAAGTCAGAGAGGGGAGGCTTGCAATTTTCAGTAGGGCAGTCAGGTATCATCTGAGCAAAGCACTGAAGGACACAAAGGTTCTAAGGAGGGAGCAGGCCAGCTTGTTTAAGGAAAGCCAGCGTGGTGAAAACCCAAGACTTGAACAGAGAAAGTCAGAAGAGGATCAGGTGGAAGTGATGTCAGAACATGCTGGACCTTGATGGCCGCTGTTTGGAATACTGGCTCTTATTCTGGGACTAGTCAAGACTGCAAAAGGCACATACAACGTGACCTGTGTTTGAACTGGATTTTCTAGCTGGTGTGTTGAGAAGACTCCGGGGCAATACGTGTTGAGAACTTGGCTCAGGGTGTTAGCAGTGGAGACTGCAGATTAAAATTTCCCCTAAAAGTTAGTAGCTCTTAAAACTACAGTTGCAACTAACAACTAGGAGAATTCTTTAACCAGGATATTATATATAGCAATAAGCTTAAAAGTAGTCTCTGTACTATACTCTATGCAAGAAACCCCATCTGTATTAAGATGTTAATACATGAATTTTGATAAAGTATGGAAATAATCTACATATTTGTTAAGATATGAGAAATACTCAATGTAGCAGAATAGCTATATGGACTACACAGTATGGGAGTCAACAACAACCAAAATCAGTGAATATACAGAACCCAAATGTATATTAAATATTTTGCTTAACTATGTAAAACATTTCTATACTAAAAAAAGCAGCTATAACTATGGTCTTGTCATAGCACTTGAAAAATGAGTGTTTCTCACTAAAAGTACTTTTTGATTTTTATTAACTCAAAATTAAAGCTCATTATACAATTTTTATAGAGTCTGCGTCTTAGTTAAACATTTACCTTGGGATCTTCCAGCTTGTAATACCTTACTGATGTCACAATAACAATATGACATCAAAAAATATACAAGGGACTTTTTGCAAAACCTTTGTTGGTTAAGAGTTAATATTCAAAGTAAAACAGCAAAGTTAATCCAACAAGAATCCCTTAATTCAGGAAGCTAATTAAAAGCTAGAAATAGTCAATACTTGGTTCTCAAAGTAGTTTGTAAGTCCAATATCTGACCAAGTCGGATTTCAGGAATAAACCATACATTCATGAAACTGATGAATATTTGCATAACTACTTTTCCACACAGCTTTGTTAATACATTTCCTTGCCTTTGTCCCACCTCTACCTGTAGCATGCTTTTAAGAACCCTGAACTCGATCAGTATGATTTAAATAAGTGAAAGGAGAAAACCTACACGAATGGATCGTTTCTTGATACTTTGTATCCTTGAAATAAATGGCTTAAAATTAAAATAAAATTAAAAAAAAAAAGGAAAAAGCCACAGATAGGTTTATGTCCTGAGACCCGGCTCATTCACATGAGAAGGCTCGCAAGATACCAAGTCTGGGTATCTGGGTACAAATGGATGGCTGTCTCCTTTCCAACCTTACATAGGTAGAAGGGTAGAGGTCAATGGTGCCGGCCCCTCTTACCTCCAGTTTCTGTAATTCCCACACGCACAGGGGAACTGCAACCACTATGGACACCAGGTAGATGACCACAGCTAAAGGTCGAATCCACTGCCTCCAGTTACTCCAGGTGCAAGTGCAAGGCATGTTTTCGCATAAATCAGCTCCGAGTAGCAAGGGAAAAGAGCCCGAAGACAGTTGTAACGGGGAGCCCTGCTCTCTGGCTGTTTTCTCAACTCGCACACTACGGAGAAAGAACTGCCACGCGACTTCAGCAACAGCTCGAGCCGCCTCCTTGGCCCGGGCTGTGCTTTCTGCTGCTAGCGCTGCGGCCACTCAGGGTGCAACCAGGGAGCAGTGCGGGCAGCATCCTTTCTCCCCTAACCTGCATCTACCGGGTTCTATCTAGCGCGGTGGGATCCCCGGCAGAGAGAGCAGCTGCTCTCATCTGGGGATCGCCCCGAGCTCCGCCTGCACCATGGTCTTGGAGAGCGGCACGATCAAGTTCGTTCTTGGGGACCCGGCACACTCCCCTTCTGCCCTGCAGCTAACTGCGCGCTAGCTCTTTTCTTTGGGGTTCGTGCTTCCTCCCTCCCGCGCTCGCAGGCTTTTCTTCGCCCGGTGAGGTTGGTAGATAAGGGCCCCGATTTTCCTCACTGCCTCGAACCGGACATCCTCTACGGCAGAACACAAGGCCAAACCCGGGCTTTCTGCTCTCTTCCGCTTCCGCCCTTGCTGTCTGAAGCAGGTGATTCGTCGTCAGCGTCCAGCTGGGACCGCCCTATCCGGCTCGTTTTACACTCCCTAATTGGTCACTTGCGCCGGGGGGCGTGGCCATAGGATTGCGTACTGAGGTGAGAAGAAAGGTGATGAGAGCTGAATGAAAGTTGTGCGCATCATGGCTGTGTGGGGAGCAGCCCCTCGGGGATTCACAAGCTGAGTTGTTTGGGAGCGCTTGAGAAACGCCGTTTATATTCTGCTGACCTTATGCCAGCTCAGAGCCTGGGTAAGGGGCAGTTTTAGATTTCACCTGGGAGAGAGAAGGCGGTTTTTCGCAGAAAGCGCTCTTCTCTCTAGGGGAGGATACGAAAGGCAACTGGAATGATAGAAGAGTGGAAAACCTCCGCCCACTTTTCTATCAGTGGCCAGAATTCAGGGATGGGCCACTTAGTTATTTCTGGATCCTGCAGAAGGATCCTTCTAAAGATAGCTCAATTTTAGAAGCAATTTCAAACACAGAATGTCCTTTCCACATTTAGAACTTGTGTTAAAAACCTGCACTCATTTGAGTATCAAAAGATTGGCAATACAACTGACAAATTTCATGTACTCATAGCTGTTAACTCTATAAGTTCACAGAGCAAACAGACAACAAATGGAGTTTTAAAACCTTTATAAAGCAATAGAGCAAGCAGCCTGTTTCTCAGATATGTAAGATAAGATGTAAGACTGTGTCTTGAGGCACAGAACTGTCCAGAGTTCTTTACCTGCCTCATATCAGTTGATTTGCATAAGAATCCTGAGCGGTAGGCAGTTTTTGTTTTACAGATTGAGAAAACCCATTTCCAGTGGTTCAGTGCTTTATCCCAAGTCACTGAGCTGGTAAAAGGTAGAGCTGAGATTCTAATCTTGGTCTCTGTAAACTTCAAAGGGTTTACATGTAAACATTTGACCTGTCAGCACCTGCCAGCACCTGTCATACCAGGACTTTCTGCCTAGTGACCACAAGCACAAGAAGACCTATAATACTGAGTACATCTAGTCCTGGATTCTCAAACATAATGAAATATTATGATTATCTTCCCCAGGGGCTTCTGTGCTAGCCAAAACCTGGAGCTGATTTCTGCAGCCCTGTTCCCAACTCTGTTTTGCAACCTGGACTCTTTTGATTACGGACTGCTTTCTTAAATGGAAAGTAGGACTTCTGTATGTTCTTCCTAAGCTAACTTACAAAATTGAAAGTCATTTTTTTTTAAAAAAAAGTCCTATCATTAAACAAATGAACCTGTCTTTTTAAAGCTAAGAAAACAGAACAAAGAACAAAATTAATCCTTACTCTACAAGCTTGTTTAACCACCAGTTTAACCTAAACCGGTGCACAGTTTAGGCTTTCTTGGGAGGTTGTCTCTGTGTTGTCAGGGACTGCATGATAGTTGCCTGTGAACAGCTTCCTCATTCTCTCTCAAGGGCAAACCTTTTCACCCACTTTGTGAAACCTTCCTTGATCCTCCCTACCCTGTGTGGCATTTGTGTTGTATTATTATTTACTTGTTTACTCATCTTTTTGCGAGTGTGGATTCCTCAGGGCAAGCTAAAAGTTCTAGAACCATTAGAAAAAAGTAAGGGAGAGAAGACAACAGCATGTTAAGTGTGCTAGTGGCTTTGCACACCAGTTTGTAACTGGCGTTCATCTATAGTCAAGCTTCTACAGATCATCAGAGAAATGAGAAAAATATAAAGTGGAATTTTCATTTAGTTGAATTTATTTGCTGTTGATCTCATTTTACTTTGAAACTATCCATCCTTTTAAAAAATGATAGTCATAGTAGATGGTAGTTGTTTTTTCTTTCTTTTCAGAATAACAAGTTGGCAACTTTATTTGTTCACAATTTGTTTATTTCTGAAATTTTTCTTGGCCCATGGAATCTTAGGGAATGGTGACAGCAACCATAATGCTGGTGTGCTCCTAATCTACTTGCTTTGCTAGCTACAGGTATTCTCTGTTTTCTCTCTGGATATGACTTAGCCTAAGTCTGAGGAAACATCTGAGATCAGTGGTACTGGAAAATAAGAATTGATTGTAACTGCAGATGGTACCAGGGTCAAAAGCAAGCTAGCCATCAACCTTGATGCAAATTATGTAAACTGAAATTTCTATTTTCTGTTATCACATGAAGGTGGGTAGATGAAATTTTACCATCTTTTGGAGGGTATGTTTGGATTAGTCTGACTTAACAGGTAAATGAAATTTACTTTGAACAATCTAGGAGGTAGGCACTTTTAACTCTTGCTCATATCTCTCTCCCCTGCCTCTGTGTACATGATAGTGTTAAGCCCTGGCTGGTATTCGATAATCTTACCATAAAAGATGAAGTCTGTGGGGGCTTGTGACTGTTTTGACCAGTAGAATCTGAGGAAAGAGGCCGTAGTCATCACATGTGACTTCTGAGGTTAGGTCACAAAAGGCCATGCAGCTGCACCCTGTCTACTGGAACACTTACTATTGAAACTCAGCCGTCACGTAAGAAGCCCTCCAACTTGAGGGCTGAATGCTGTAAGAAAGCCCAAGGTGCGTGGAGAAGCCTCTTGAAGGCACGCTGGTTTACAGCCCCAGCTGAGCCCAGCCCTCAAGTCAGCCCATCCCAAGTGCCAAGAATATGAGTGGAGAAGGACATTCCAGCTCAGCTTTTGAGGCTTAGCTGAAGCTCAAATCATGAGGATGGAAGCCATCCCTACTCTGCCTTGTTCTAAATCCCAAGCTGCAGGACCTATGAGCATAATAAAACGACTGCTGTTTTACTTTACTGAGTTTTGGGTGTGTGACTTATCTCTGGGAGGAGATAACTGGAACCTCTCTATCTACGGATTTGTGCGTTTTCCACCTAGTCTGTAAGAAGCTTTCTTGCTGATGGTGATTCCTTCCTTCCTTCCTTCCTTCCTTCCTTCCTTCCTTCCTTCCTTCCTTCCCTCTTTGCTTCTTTCCTTCCTACCCTGTTTCCTTCTTTCCTTCCTACCCTCTTTCCTTCCTTCCTTCCTTCTTTCCTTCCTTACTTCGTTCCTTCCTTCTTTCCCTCTCTCCCTTCCTTTCTCTCTTTCTCTTTCTTTCTTTTGCCTGTAACTGACTTTTTGGCTAGGTAAAGTGCCTCAAGGTAATCTTTTTGAAAACTGTGTTGACCCCATAGTCTAAGATTGTGTTATCAGTCGAAGATTTAGGTGAATTTTTGGTTGAAAGGTGTCGCAATCATCTACTGTCACGCAGCTCGACAGTAGCAAATGCGATGTCCGACTTGTCAGTCACGGGGAAGAAAGGAATACACGGACACAAGACTGTCTTTCCAATGAGAAGTTTTATTGCTTATACACCAGGGTTTTTTTTTTTTTAATCACACTACTCATCAGCATGCTCATTGAGGTCAATACACTTATCAGTATCAATATACTTATCAATCTATACTAATTAATACACTTATGAATAAACAACACCACTATTTAATCATGACTTAACTACTTAGCTACTTAGCTTAACGTAACTACTTAGCTTAACTACTTAGCTTAACATAACTACTTATCTTCTACTTAACTTACTTACTATAATACTTAACTATCAGAGTAACACTATTTCCTTAACGACTAGAGGACTACTGGGATCAATACCATCAATATCAATATCAATAATACTACTTGAACTTATTCATTAATCCACAGATCACAGTATACAGTGTTAAAGTAATTTTGAGGGCTATCCAATTATAATAGTATATGTACATCAAGGTTTCCAGCATTATTTGCAGATACCTTGCATGGGGTCAAAACATAGGGTCAAAGCATAGTTATATTACACATGACCAGCATTATTTGTAAAAGCTGCATTTTCAAGGCTCGTATCATGGTCACGAAAAAGTGTCAGTGTGCAAGGTCCAGAGCTCCACGTCTCGGCAGAGACGGATCTCGGATCAGTCACTTACAGGCAGGAAGTCGTGTGAAGGCTGTCACTCTGGGCAGTAGGCTCGAAGTTCCCAGGCGGATGGCCAGGCGAGAAGTTAGAGATGTCCCCTGCTGAGAGGCCTGGTCCAGCTTTGAGGACAGGTCTGGCAGTAAGCTGATAAGGGGTCCAGGCAGGGCGGTGAGGCGGCATCTTGGCTGGTCAGGCACGGCAGCAGGGCAGCAACGCAGCAGCTCCGCTGTCCTCTTGATCCCGTCGTCGCCTTGTGCCACATAGCAAAAGCTAGCGGCTGGCTCTTCGACTCCAAGTGCGAGGAGATCCAGAGGTTTGCATGCACTGGGTCCATGCACACACACACACACAGACACTCTCACACACAGACAGTGGGGTTACAGCTCAGGGACAGCTCTGCAGGTCGGCTTGTGCCGCTACCTGCTCCATGCAGAGTAACGGGCTGCCTCTTCAGCTCCGGATGTGTGGAGATCCAGAGGTTCACACACACCAGGCCATCATCCACGAGAGGATGGAGAGTGGTGCAAGGACTCCCCTTTTTATCCTCATTCTCTGGCAGTCCTCCAGCTTGCCATCCTCCTATTTGTTGTCCAATCAATGCTGTTTCCTCCTTGCTTGCAGTTGAACAGTCCAGTCAATACTGTTCCGCCTTACTTACATTTGAACGGTCCAGTCAGCGTGGGTAGGAGGGTATTGTCTGTAGCACACTGTTATCTGATTGACCAGAGATGTCTGCTTGGTGTGGTTAGGAGCGTCTCCCTAACAGCCGATAGATATTGCATAATGCCTCAGCTCCTGAATTATAACTCCACGTTACTTTTATTTTGTGGGCTAGTGGTGAGTTTCTTTGTGTCTGTTTTTTTGACAGGCAGAGTGGACAGTGAGAGAGACAGAGAGAAAGGTCTTCCTTTGCCGTTGGTTCACCCTCCAATGGCCGCCGCAGCCGGCGCACCGCGCTGATCCGATGGCAGGAGCCAGGAGCCAGGTGCTTTTCCTGGTCTCCCATGGGGTGCAGGGCCCAAGCACCTGGGC